AAGACAACAATCCAAAAGAAATTACACATTCTTGCTACAATTACCTTTTGCAACTTCAGTTTTCTTGACGAGCCGAAGAGATTTTTTATTCAAACCATCTCCAATTACATTTTTGCATCTGCACAAAAAAATTTATTGTTCAATCTGCAGGTTACAATTTTAAATCAAAATTGCGAAAAAAACCTGAGAGCCCAGTCAGTAAAAAAGTCAATCCGCACGACCCTAAAATAATTACTGCCGAAACATTATCAGAATTGTTTTAGCTGAAATTTTGGTATAAAGATTATAAAGTTTATATCAAAACTCAGCTAAAATTAATTTCGATAATGTTTCGGCAGTAATCACTTCAGGGTGATGCGGATTGGCTTTTTTACTTTTTACTGACAGGGCTCTTAGGTTTATTTTTCAATTTTGATTTGATATTGTAGCGTGCAGCCTGTGCAGAAAAGGTTTGCAGATAAAAAAAAATGTAATTGGAGCTGGCTTAGATGAAAAATCTCTTTGGATCGTCAAGAAAACTGAAGTTACAAGAAGTGAAAATAGCAAGATTGGATAATTTTTAATCCTTTTTTAATCTGTATACGAATGGATACAAAAGCCGAAGAATGTGAATTAGTTTGCTTATAGAGCAAAAACTGATAAATATCTACACTATATGGTAGGAAAGGATGCTTGAACTGGTAGGAAATGATTGAACTGAGTTATTACTTTGGTTTTATACTCAACACGTACAAGTAATTTCATCCGGCTTCAAAAAGATTTCGAAAAAAAGTTGCTAGCATATTTTTTACAATTACTTTTGATGAAGAAATTTTAAAAGCCAATTTATTAATAAATTGTAAGAAAGTATAACAAGAGAAATTTTTCAAATTGAATTTTCAATCCAAATACACCATGACACTGCCTTCGTTTTTTGGATCAACTCGGTGATTCCAGCCCAGTTGAGAAGCCATGTTTAGCACAGCAGGCCTTATCTGTGGGATTCCGTTTTCCGAATGGATGCCTTTCCCTAGAAAAGACCAATTAAGCTCCAGTTTTCCAATTTATATCTAAAAAATGCAGCAAGATCGAAAGAAATGAGGTCAAAATTTCCAGCCGATAGCAGAATATCAGAAAATTATAATTCATGGTGAGGCTCAATATTTGTCTATCGAAAAGAACAGGTTAACTTGCGTAGCAACCAAACCTCCGACGGAATGAGAGACTTTTTCGATGAATTTTTTGTCGTATTGATTAACTAAATATCCTTAACACAAAATTCAATCAATAAATCGAACAACTATCCACAACTTCAGAAGATAAAATAAAGCTCATGTAAATAATTCTTAACCAAATGAGGGATTCAAAAGTTAAAACTGGCCTGTTATCACTCTAAATGAAATTTCTCCATCATCTTCACATTGGCTGTAAAACTCCTTGACCTCCGAGCAAGCATCGCTCTTGTTCATCCCATGGAGGTCCAAGATGGGAGGTGGACCACGTGATTTGGAGCGACTTCTATTTCTTGCTTTCCTGTTTGAACTCTTAATTTTTCTTAATTGAGCAGGAGAATGCTGAGGCTAAAGTAGTGTCTTTTTTATTGATAACAACTAGAGCTTCAAAAAGTTTGGAGCCGTATACTTTAAGAAACAAATTGTTGAGATATAATTATAAAATAGGTTAAATGAAAAAAAAAAAAACATTTTAACTATCAAAAAATTTGTAAATAGGCGGCTGTGCTTTTTGGCTGTTTTTTTTATGTTGGACATTGCAGATTTTTTAGGGAACAAATTTCTATCAGACTTACGGATATAAATTGCGACCTTGGAACAGAGATGGATCGCTGCCACTGTTTCTGGTTGTTAGCGGGTATGTCTCGTAAAGGCGCCCTTGAATGCCGATCTTGCTGCTGAAACAGCGTATATGCCGAGTTATCAGAAACACTTGACTTTGCGTAGAAGTCACTCTGAAGATAGCCCACCAAACCATCCACTCGGCCATTGTTTCGTTTTTCAAAATAGTTTTTGTTCTCCTACAAAAATAGCAATTTGTTCTCTTACTAAAATAGCAATCAAAAAGAAAATTATGGCGAGCAAATTGTGACCTAAGCCAATGATTGTTTTTTTTAAAATTACTAACCCTCTTTCTCGCCCGAATAATTTTTTTTACAGCAACTGATAGAACAATCAAGATCTATTCAAACAGTTTTTTGGCTCGCTTTTTTAGACTGTATTTATCAGATTTTCTAGTTTTTGAGAGCTTGCGTCTTTTATTTTACATAAAGCAAGGTAGAAAGACCATCCAGTTTGATCTCAAACACAGCGATAAAACAGGATGTAGCAAACTCTGCTCAATTTGACTGGCTGTGAGCAGGAATAAAACTGAATTAAGCACATTTAGTTTCGTAGCATCAAGGTTCGACCACAAGTCGCTTTTTACATATTTTCTTATAAACAATTTACAATTTCTGACAGAATTTAAAAAAAAATTATTTAACCAGTTTAGAAGTTCTCGGCTGTCACAGAGTTCAATAAAAGAACTTCGCAAGATCAAACACTTGTTTCACTATAGGTGTTTACCGAAAAACCACTAACTGTTTTTTTGCAGATTACGAGAAATTTTGTCAATATATACCTGAACCCTTAATAACTTTGAACCGCTGACTACGTATAACTAAAAAACTTATTGAAACAAAACCAATTTTGTTTGTTTGAATGAAAAATATAACCACCGTATAAAAAATTTAACATATAAAAATTTTTACACATAAGAAAGTTGTAAGATAGCGGAAAACTTCTTCAAAGCTTATAGAAAATTCTACGATGAAAGAAGATTCTGTAGAATGGTCCACCCGGGAGCACTAAATTATCGATGGAGCAGAGATGTTTTTCAGCCAATGCAGATATTTTTTTTCTTTCTCATAATAAAAATTTCTACTGCTGATATTACCCTGTTATTACTACTAAATTCATACATTCGTTTCCCCTGGTCCTCTATGATGAAAAAAGCCAAGTTTTAAATAGTTGGTTTTGGCGGTGAGTTAAGTTTTTTGAAGTTTCGAAATAGTGACCGAATTGTAATCTAAGGGGCTATATTATTTTGAGTCATATGACTCCATCTGACGTTCCTTTGTGGTAGCTGATTTTGAGTGGTAAAAAGTGCTTTTGTTCGTTTTGAATGGTTTCATGAAAGTCATGAAAAATTACAACAGGGCTGTTTGATTTGAATGAGTTGGTTTGCTGAAATTACAGACTTACGGACGCAAGTCGGGCTTGTGGGACAGAACTGAGTCTTTGCAATTGGTTCTGGTTCTTTGCGCATATGTCTCTCAGAGGTGCTCTCGAAATACGATCTTGCTCCTGAATCGGCGTAGCTGCAGACTTGTAAACGGCTTTTGGTTGAGGGTAGATGGAGCACTGGACACTGCCCTCATAACTGTCGTCTGGACCATTGATTCGTCTGTTGGCATTGTTTTTATTCTGCAATAAATTATGAAATAAAAAATCACAGTGCCGAGATATGGCTTTTTTCAGTAATCATTAAAAATAGCAGAAAAAAAATTATTTCACGTACAAATTTTTTAAATCAGAAACCAAGCTGATGGAATCTGCAAATGTTGCTCAAAAGTTGTTTTGGTGAGAATGATAAGCTTTGTTACAAAAAAGCAAGTCCACAATTTTCGTTAAAAAAATTTGCTGTGGAGTTTTAAGAAACAATGGGATAAAAGTTATTAGCAGCATGAGCGCAGCAAAACTCACGCATGCTACATAGTATTTTTTTAATGAAATATAGATTTCGTGAGTTTTTGATTTTCTATTCAGAATGCTTGTTTAGATGAACCCTCCAGATTTTTTTACATTAGAATTCAAGGCTTTAGCAGATCTCGTTGAGTGTCACTACTTTGCATAAATCATAGAGTAAGTGCTGGCTGAAATATTATAGCAACACTGAATCATCGATGAAACATAGTTGACTTTCAGCAAACGATTGTAATATTTTGGTTTGCAAAACAAATTTCTACCGTCGCTACCCCGTTACTTTCACAAAAAAATTTTTTTAGTCTGATCCACAGACTGTTTTTCTAGCTTTAACTAGCAGACCAAAAATGAGTTATTAATTATCGCAGATCAAAATTTAGAGTCGAAAGCATATAACGTTTATTATCACAACGAAGGACGTATAGTTGATTATAGACTTCTGGCATTACGAGTGAAAATCGAATATATGAAACTACATAGCTATAGTTACCTATGTCTTTTTAATTAAAATAGTAAATTACTACACTAGTTTTGAGTGAATGCGATTCTCTGTGCGATGCCTATCCGCGCGAAAACAGAATGATAACAATTTCAAGATTCAGCCAATTAAAGAAGAAACTTGATTTTTAGGAAAAGTTTCATATCAGGAAACAAAATACAGTCTAGATAACCAATTAAAAAACGACTGCCAAAGCTTTTAAAATCCACTGATCAGGGAGTTAAAAGTACGATGCGAGTTAAAAGTACGATGCGAGTTAAAAGTAGATACAAACTGGCGCAACAACCTAGTGCGACAAAAGCCAAATTGGCTCGACTGAACAGAAAATGGCGCAACCGAAAAAGTCAAAATTTTAAGTCAAGCGAAACAACGAAACTCCATCGCAACCAGTGCAATTATGAAAAAACAATCACAACAGGGACTTAAAGCATCGCTAGGATGAACGCAGCAACTTGAAAAACTTTGGGTTACCTGAAAAACCGTTTCAACTGGTACGACTGATTGCGGTCGACAAATAGTTTGCTCGCGGATGGAAAAATATATCTTGACCGTCGCAAATAATAACAACTCAGATGCCATCTACTTTGATGGCGAACATTTATGTTTCGTCAAACGCAAGTTTTCCAACTCAAAAAGTATATGCCTGAATTGAGCGTTTTTTATTGTTTAAAATTTACTGTGCAAGGCAAATCATATGCACAAAATAAAAGTAACTTGCTCAAATCATGGGGTACGATGATAGTTTAGTTGTTTTACAAAATAAAACATCTGAAATACAATTTTTAGTAATGAAGACTGTTGCGATTTATTATTTTAGTATGTCTTAACCTTGATCTCTATAGATGAATCAAGTACCAGTTAAAGTCTACTCTACGAAGTCCAGTGGACTTCGCGTCACTAGTTGCTCTTTTAAGACATTGGTCAGTTTTAATTTACACATTATTTTATTCCTTTTTAACTTAGATAGTTAGTTCAGTTACCAGTGGTATTTGCACACTTTTATAATGTCGCAGTCAACAACTGACTCGAATCTGCGGGGAATACCCGCCTTTTGGCCAAATCACACGGTAGAACCTCCCACCCATGGAACAACTGGATAGACCAATTTCATCTGGCTATCATTGCTAAAGATAATTTAGATATAGATAATCTAAAGGAACCATTGGAAGGGGAGACAACGATACCCATCTTAGAAGGCGCCCAGGAGTCAGAAACTGACCCACAGAGGAAAGCTAGGGAGGCCAGAAATAAAGTGACCATGCGAGTCTACGAACACGCGGAAGATAAAAGACTAGCAGAAGAGAAACGAAAACTCAGAGGAATGAGGAGATATGATACCGACAAAAAAGTAAGATCAATCTTATATTTGGCCCTAGGAGCGGAAGGAAAGAGAGTCTTTCCTCAAAATACCCAAGGGTGAAAGTCCTAGGAATCTCGTTCAAAGAATTTTTCGAACTACTAGAAGCTGATTTTATCAAATCGACAAATATTACGTTTGAACGATACAAGCTGCTAAGCAGAAAGTAAAAGGATAGGGAATCCTATGAACAATTTTGGGGCGCACTATCAGATTTAGCAAGATCATGCGAAATTGGAATCAACGCCGAACAGCAGTGGATCAGAGATGTATTTATTTTCAACATGAAAAACTGTGACTTACAACGTAGATTACTTTCGGAAACTCTTAATCCAGTGAATGCACACAACCAAGCCATCATCGACGAAAAAGGCTACTACAACCACTTGAAATTAACAAATTTGACTAGCTATTTTCACAGAGGAAAGCTAGAGCATTCAACACGACAAGAAGTAGCGGCAGAGTGTACAAAAATTTTATTAATGTAAAAAAGAAACCAAGTTTGAACATAGAAAGATCTAATACTTGTATAAAATGCGGGAATGCGTTTACCAAGGGTCATCTGAATGTGTGTCAGGCGAAGGAAATAATCTGTAATATTTGTAAATATAAAGGACATTTCGGAAGACTGTGTAAATCGAAAGAACGAAAACCCGCTGTAAATACTGTAAAAGAATCTGCAAAAATTCAGAATGGTTCATACTCCCCAGTAGACACTCAAGCAAGAATTGAAGAAAAATTTTGTGGCGTGATTAAAGCCTGGACAGAAGAGGGGATCAGCGACAACGAGGACTACTCCGTTCTTAACATCAGAACCATCTACGACACCAATGATATGGAGACTAAGAAATTGGTTAACATCGGACTGGGAGATAGTTAATCTGAACATTCCAGTGGATTCAGCCAGACCAGTAAGCTTCCTAAAGCAAAAAATCCTGCACCACCTGAAGTTGAGAAGCCCACATATGAAAATACACCCAGTAGACAAGAAGACTCGGGAATTATACTGCGTGTTTACCACCGATACAGTTAACATCATCGGGAAAGTTGTAGTTAGAATACAATCCAATGGATGGATGGCGGATGACACTCCGTTTATTATCACTTCTGGACATGAGAGGAGCATTTTGGGAAACGATAATTTACCACGAATCGGAATCGAAAAAGCCCAATGACAGCCTCTACTACCCGTCAACAACGTAACCTTCCGAGATTAGTGTAAGTTAAACAATCATTCAGACACAACTCTTAAATGTATCATAAATACAAAAGATTTTTTAACAGAGTAGGGAAAATAACATTGGACGGAAAAATCACTCATTTTCACTCTCCATTCAAACCTATTCAAACCAAAGGCAGAAGAGTTCCTCTGCATTGTGTAAAGGTGGAATTAAATAGAACGGAAAAAGAGGGGCATATTGTGAAATTAGGCAAATGCGATGAAGACTGTTTTGTTAGTCCAATAGTGATAACAAGAAAAAAAGACGGTAGTATCAAGTTGCCATTAGATTCGAAACTCTTAAATAACCAGATATTCAAGAACAAATACCAAATGCCAAACATACACGAGCTTATCGACAACATAGGTCTCCAACTTTCCAACAAATATTCAGGAAAGTCTGGTTTAGTAATTTAGATCTAAAAAATGCGTACAGTCAACTACAACTATGTACAGACACAGCTAAAAATGCAATTTTAGTATTGTAGGTGGTAAAACCACCGGGACCTATAGATTTTTAACGGGGTTTTACGGACTAGGCGATATGCCAAACGAGTTCCAGAGAATGATGGATTCATTAGTGAAAGACCTTCCTTTTAGCAATTGTTATATCGACGACCTTTAGAGATCCTTTCGAAGACAATTTAGTAGCTTCGAAAGGATCTCTAAATAAACACAAAGCGATATTTAAAAAAATTTTAAACATCTTGTACAACAAGAACATGGCAGTAAAATGGGAGAATTGTGCATTTTTCCAAAAAGAAATAGAGTGGCTGGGTTTCACGATATCAAACTCGGGGTTGAAACCGTTGGTGGGAATCTCAGATTCTATAAAAAATCTCCCAAACCCCAAAAACATATCTGAATTAAGGCCATTCTTCGGCTCAATCAACCAATTTATGAAGTTCGTCCCGAACTTGTCAATTCTAAAATCTCCCTTTCGACCACTTTCAGTTAGAAAAATCAGTCTACCAATGGAACGACGATCATACGAAGGCTTTCGAAAAACTACAGAAACAGATCGTCAACATTACAGAGAACAATCATTTTGACATAAAAAGGATGTCAAGATGAAAAACAGACGCTTCACATAGCGGTCTGGTAGCCACTTTAGAACAATGGGACGGGGAAAATTGGTTAACAATAGCTTTCGCTTCTCGATTTTTAAACAGTCATGAAACGCAATTTTCTACAAACGAATTAGAATTGTTGGGAGTAGTCTGGGCTACAGAGCATTTTAAAAACTACTTGTATGGCGAGTTTGAAATCGTAACGGACCACAAGGCATTGTTAACAGCCTTAAATGCCAATCAAAGTAACAAAACTATGCACAGCAGACTAACCCGTTGGGTAAATCGACTTTTACCATTTAACTTCAAGATCAAACACATAAGAGGAAAAGAAATGGTATTTACAGATCTACTGTCAAGATTACCTTCAAGAAAAGCCCTCCCAACCTCACACTACGATAGCGAATTTGTAGTGGCAACAATTTAAAAGATTGTAGACAACCTCTCTGTAAATATTGGTTGTAAAAAGAATAATTGTACAAAGAACGAATTGTACAATCCATGGGTTGTAAATACTATTAGTAATTTGGATTGCAATAATCCAATGGGCGGAAAGAAAGAACTAACGCTACACAT